GCCTTGTACTGTACTGAAGGAATTTCACGTTTTACTCCAAGAGACATCTCTTGGAGGCCTATCTCTTGTCAAGACAGTAGCTGGTTACAAAGGAATTTTGAGGAAGCTGAGGCTTGGTTTGCTCTAAAAAATTTGGGAAAAAATAAGGCGTCAGGGCCAGACGGATTTACCATTGAATTCTTCATCAAATTTTGGCAGCATTGGAAAGGGGATTTTATGCGACTTTTTGCTGAGTTCTTTCGAAATGGCCAATTGAATGCTTGCGTTAAAGATAATTTCATTTGCCTTATTCCTAAGAAAGATACAGTGGAAAAGGTAAAGGACTTTAGACCAATAAGTCTTTCAACCTCCACTTATAAAATTATAGCCAAAGTCCTCACCGAGCGCCTCAAGAAGGTGATTCCTAGCAAAATTTCTATGAATCAGAGTGCTTTTATTGAAGGAAGACAGATCCTTGATCCGGTGTTAATTGCAAATGAGCTTGTAAATTTCTATAAAGTCAAGAAGAAGAGTGGTTGGATGTTAAAACTTGACTTAGAAAAAGCCTTTGATAGAGTGGATTGGGATTTTCTTGATGCTGTCCTTCGAAAGAAAGGGTTTGGAGAGAAATGGATTAGCTGGATTAATGGTTGCATCAGAGGGACAAAATTTTCAGTATTCATCAATGGTAGACCAAGAGGAAGAATCTTACTTCTAGAGGTTTAAGGCAAGGGGACCCTCTTTCTCCTTTCCTTTTTCTCTTAATCAGTGATGTGCTTAGTAGTTTGTTGGATCGCCTACATGAAAAGGGTATTTTTGAAGGTTTTATTGTCGGCAGAAATCATGTTCATGTTTCTCATCTACAGTTTGCAAATGATACTTTGTTGTTTTGTAAGGATGATGATGATATGTTGGAGATTCTTTTCGATACTATTAAGACATTTGAATGGTTGTCTGGCCTGAAAGTAAATTGGGATAAATCATTATTATGTGGAATTAATATTGATACCCAAAAAGTAGCGTTGTTTGCTGCAAAGTGGAATTGTAAAATTGAACATCTGCCCATTATGTACTTGGGGCTTCCTTTAGGTGGAAATCCAAAGCTTGAAGCCTTTTGGTTACCTATTAAGGACAAGATCCTAAAGAAGCTCGATAGATGGAAGTTGTATCAATTATCTAAAGGAGGTAGACTGACTTTGTGCCAAGCGGTGTTGGGTAACATCCCTATGTATTACTTATCGCTTTTTCAAATGCCTGGACATATCAGCAAGCAATTTGAAAAGTATATCAGAAAATTTTTTTGGGGACATGGTTCATATGGGTCTTTAAAGCATTTGGCTCGATGGGATTTAGCTTCTCGCCCTTCTGCAAATGGTGGCTTGGGCATTGGTATGTTATTGAATAAGAACCATGCTCTTCTTGCGAAATGGTGTTGGAGGTTTAGTGTGGAAACTTCTGCGTTATGGCGCCGGGTTGTGGCCAGCATTTATGAAACAGATTGTTTGATTGGAAAACTCTGGAAAAGAAGAATTTGGGGTGTCGTAGCCCTTGGAACAACATTCAAAAACAGTGGAAAAAGGTACAGAAATTCTCTTCATTATCGGTAAAAAATGGCAAACGTACTTTGTTTTAGCATCACTTGTGGTTGGGCGAGTCTTGTTTAAAGGACAAGTTTCCACTTATGTTTCG